GAGAGAGAGAGAGAGAGAGAGAGAGAGAGAGGGAGGGAGCACGTCGTGAAGATAATAATCTACTTCTAATTCTACGGGAAAAAACCCTGTCAGGCGTGTAATCATTATATACTCAATTAAAATCTGAGCGCGTTGGCATCGGCCGCAATCAGCAGGGATCATTAGGCATACGAAAGAAGCTTCCGTAATACGAGAGAGGGAGGGAGGGAGGGAGGGGAGAGAGGGAGAGAGGGAGGGAAGGAGGGAGGGGGGAAATGAGAGAGGAAGGGAAGGAGAGAAAGCGAGGGGAAGGGAGGGAGGGATGAAGAGAGAGAAGGAAAGAGGGGGAGGTAAGGATTGAAAGAGAAAGGGGGAACGAAAGGAGGGAGGGAGAGAACGAGATAATTGGGAAGAGAGATAGAGTGGGGTTGAGAGAGAGAAAACGAGACAGAGAAGGAATGAGAGAGCGAGAGAGAGACAGAGAGGGAATGAGAGAGAGAGAGAGACAGAGAGGAAACGAGTGAAAGAGAGAGAAAAAAAGAGAGAGAGGGAGAAAGAGAGAGCGAGAGCGAGAGAGAGAGAGAGAAAGAGAGAGAAAGAGAGAGAGAGAGAGAGAGCGCGAGAGAGATACTGAACCTACGCGTTATTTGCATGTCTGCGTCTGTGACACTGCGTTTCTCATTCGTGACTCGACATGTTTTAATTGCAGACGATCTAATCCCTTCCGTCTGCGATTAAACCGGCATCCCATAATAGTCGACAATAGAGAATTAGGGGGTGAATGACACCCCAAATCTGTTTTCATTCGCTCTTGACAGAATAATAATAATGTTCTAATGTTCATACATCATGCGATCGCCACGGTGCATTACCGACCCCGTGCGTCGTAGTTTCGCTTCCGCCCCGCCGTGTGGCGCCACCATCGCGAGAAGCGACGAAATGGCGACGACGAATTTTTTTTCCCCGGATTACACCGCTCGCCTCCGCCTCCGCTTCCTCCGCTGCCTCCTCCACTGCCACCGCCGCCGCCGCCACCGCCTCTTCCTCCTCCATCGCCTCTCCCTCCTCCACTGCCTCTTCCTCTTCCTCTGCCGCCTCTGCCGCCTTCGCCCCCACCGGACCGCTGCCTCTTCCTCCTCCGCCGCCTTCTCCGCCTCCTCCGCCGCCTCGCGAGAATAGCTTCACAACAAACCTCTTTAGACCCTAATAGCGTTTGGCGGACGCCTAATTCTCGGCTCTATAGCATCGTTATCCCCTTCTGGGGGTTCGGACCGGCCGACCGAGCTAGCACCGAGTGCCGTCGCTGCTCAATTGCTCCTAATTCCATTTGAAAACAATCGCACCCTGATCGCCGCTTGTGGCGTCGTTAGCAGACGATTGAGAAAATTACGGCAGGCAGCCGACGACGACGACGACGATGACGACGACGACGGCGGCGGGTCGGCGATGCTTACGGACGGAACCAATGTGCGGGGCTTGAGAGAGAGAGAGGGGGAGGAGAGGCGAGAGAGAGGAGGGGAGGAGGGGAGAAAGAGAGAGAGAGAGAGAGAGAGCGCGAGAGAGCGAGCGAGAGAGAAAGAGTGTGTGTGCGAGAGAGAGAGAGAGAGAGAGAGAGAGAGAGAGAGAGAGAGAGAGAGAGAAAGCGAGTGTGTGTGTCAGGGAG